GTTAAAGGGAAAGCCTGGTAGAAAAAGGTCCCAAAAATGTTTGCATTATTTGAGTAAATTGCTCAGAGGACTGTCCCATGGTTTCTTGGAAAGGATTGCTGATATAACCTAGGAATTTTGGGGAAGAATTAGTGCTTTTGAAACCCTGACGTACAGAATATCACAACAACATATGTGGGTGGGGAGTCCTATCATCACGTTTCCTTTTATAGAAACTAATCTCTACCTCAGCAGCCAGTTTCAATCAAAGAAGATATATTCATGGGGGGAAGAACATAAAGCTGTATATGACTTATATACATGCACACATGCGTGCGCATGTTGATATAAATATAATCCCTATATTAGCATGATGACTAAGAATGCAGTTTTAAAGGTGATTGTATAACTACCTACATTTTGAATTATCACTGGTGGCCGTTTTTGCTTTTGCTTTTTGCTTTTTCATCACTGTGTTCTTATGATAATGTCAGAAGTGCTTTGGGCAAATTATGTGTTTGTCTCTCAGCAGAACCCATGGGTTTTAAAGGATTTTGAAACTTGTATTTCCTTCTTCCTCTGTAATAGTTTTTGACAAAACGTTATGGGTACAGTCAACATGTAATTGACACACATACAAGTTCTGCATCTGAAACAGATGTGAACAATCCTATTATATTAGTATGGAATTGCAAGATATGCCTACAAAATATAAATATTGCTATATAATTCTCAGTATCACTCCTTGAAAAATTCCACAGTGGTTTTTATAGGAGGACAGGATGGTAGTTGTTTCATGGATTGTCTTTTTTGCTGGACATCTGTAGATAGTGTTCATGTTTCTTTCCTTTCAAACGCTATATTCAGTACATCATCTTCTTTATTATGAAAATACAAATATCAATAGAAGTTTAGACATATAATCATCCCAATTTCATTCCAGTCTTAGGAATGGCTCTGCACTTTTAACAGCTTGTTTTAGCTATGTGTTTATCAGCCCCTCCTTTATATTATTATGCTGATGGATGGCATTTTTATATTGAGATTGTATCCTGTGCTGGGGTAATTTACAATAAAGTGTGGGTTTAAAATATGTTAAATAAAACATAAGCATTGTTCCTTCCAAAATTATTTTGATTCCTCCTCTATTTACAATACCATATTGTCACTTTTTGCATCTATGATTCCTAATTTTCTGTGATTGTGTTGTGTTACTGAATGCCAACCACCCTTCAGTTTTTCTGGATTTCTTATAAAAGCTGTTAATTTAAACTTCCAATTGATTCCACATTTTCCTAACCTAACCTATTGTACTCAAATTTCTTTCCCCCCCTAAATTTGGCATAATTCTGGCCGATGTTGGTATCGTCCGCAACTGGATCTAATGGCCAGGGGTCCCTTTACCTTTTTACCGACATTCAACTGTTCCCAAAGTTCAGTAAGCAATCCAGAGGATCCACTAACAAATTAATTTGAAACATTTGACTGATTAACCTTACAACCATTTTCCAGTAGTCAACAGCTTTGCTGCACTTCCACCACATCTGGAAAATGTCTCCTTTGTGTTTATTATAGATCCAGCATTTTCCATCTCCTTCATTGCTGATTTTGATTTAGGGTACCATCCTATTGTCCCTTGGAGGGCATTCCAGTGGCCAGAGAATATTGCAGACTTCCTTCTATGGCTTGAAAGACAAGTCTGCCCTTGAGAGCCTTGTCATTGCAGCTGCAGAAAACTCTCCAGATTTTGCTCCTTCATTTGCAGTAAGGTGAGAGGGAAGGAATAGGGAAAGGAAAGGGGTGTTCTGGATGTATGTTGGGGCAGATTAGGAAAGAGTTTGGATATACAGGAGCCAAACTCCTCTGAACCCCAACACACTCTTTACAAGGGAGGAAGAGGCAACCATGTTTATCTCTGTTTAATATCCTTGGGTTATCACATTTTCCAGGGAGACAAAACGTGTGGAGACAAACATGGCTGCCTCCATTGCAAAATGGCATTTTTGAAAGATAGCTCTGTTTTGGCACATGTATTAGTTTGGAAGGGACGCGGGTGGCGCTGTGGGTAAAATCTCAGCGCCTAGGGCTTGCCGATCGTATGGTCGGCGGTTTGAATCCCTGCGGCGGGGTGCGCTCCCGTCGTTTGGTCCCAGCGCCTGCCAACCTAGCAGTTCAAAAGCACCTCCGGGTGCAAGTAGATAAATAGGGACCGCTTACCAGCGGGAAGGTAAACGGTGCTCCATGTGCTGCTGGCTCGCCAGATGCAGCTTGTCACGCTGGCCACGTGACCCGGAAGCGTCTGCGGACAGCGCTGGCTCCCGGCCTATAGAGTGAGATGAGTGCACAACTCTAGAGTCTGGCAAGACTGGCCCATACGGGAAGGGGTACTTTTACCTTTACCTTTATTAGTTTGGAAAGTGTGAATTAAGTAGGTTTCAGATTTATCTCCCATCCCTATGGCCAACAGGTGTATGTGTGGAGGGAACATGCAAAGATGTTTGAGTATCATTTCCAAATCCAAGTGCATGTATGTATCCAACTGCATGCCTACACAAGAAGAAAACCAGTGGTCAGTATTATAACAGGACTTCCTGGAACTCTCCAGCTTTTCTTGTGATAAAGGGTACATATATCAAGGAATAATCCTTCTAGAGGCATCCTGTGCTCTTTCATTGTCCCCTACATTTATGGTACATCTGACATGCCTATGTCAGAAAGGTACCTTGCCTTTCATTTCTACTACCCTTTACGTTAAAATAAAATATGAGGATTATTATTCGTGAGCAGACTGTAAGGCTGAGAAAATGGTGACATGAAATACTACCTTCACTGTTCTCTGATAAGGTCAGTAGTTCAAATGACACATGCATTGAAGCAGCTTTTAAAGCAGAGTTTAATATACAAACCCATATGTACCCATTGCGGTGGGTTCTCTTATGTACACAGCTATCGGGTGCCTCTTCAGAATATAATTGGATTGAAGTGATTTCTATCACAATTTCATTAAAAATGTATCAAACTGGGAGAAGACATTATTATTATTATTATTATTATTATTACATTCTATTTTGGTCCAGAAAAGGTTAAAGGGGAGAGAAGGGTTTGCAAGCAAAGGTTTGTGTAGGAATACAAAGATGTTTGTTGTTGCTGCTGACAGCCCACTTATTTAAAACCAGAAACATAAAATTTATACAGCACAATTAATAACAAGATGGTAGATAAATCCAGCATTAATATTTTCTAAAGTCATGCCCGCAGAAGGAAAGATGGCAGGAACCCCAAAGACATGCTCTATGAGGAGCTGGCTTTGGGCTCCAGGCCCATTGGCAGACCAACTTTGTCTTACAAAGATGTCTGCAAACAATGACATGAAGGCTGGCAACGTCAACCCTCCATGTGGGAATCCCTTGCAGATGATCACAGTGCCTGGAGACAATCAAGTTGTGTATCCATAACTTTCGTGTTTCACCTCAAGAGGCCACCCCTGAGTAGGACTTACTTCTGAGTGAACACAGATAGATAGATAGATAGATAGATAGATAGATAGATGATAGATATACAGTAGTACCTTGGGTTAAGTACTTAATTCGTTCCGGAGGTCCGTACTTAACCTGAAACTGTTCTTAACCTGAAGCACCACTTTAGATAATGGGGCCTCCTGCTGCTGCCGTGCCGCCAGAGCACGATTTCTGTTCTCATCCTGAAGCAAAGTTCTTAACCTGAAGCACTATTTCTGGGTTAGTGGAGTCTGTAACCTGAAGTGTATGTAACCTGAAGCATATGTAATCTGAGGTACCACTGTATATGTACTTTTTATTTTCCATTTTATAATATGCGTTCACATTATAACACTCCACTTTACGTCCCCGGCTCTTTAGAGCCTGTCAACTTCCTTCCCTCCCACCTCATGGCTTTCAAAGTTAACCTTTATATCATTGCGTTTTGCACGTTTTCCAATTCTAGTTACACACATTACAAAATAACTCAAAATTTAAATAAATCTAAAGGTAAAGGGACCCCTGACCACTAGGTCCAGTCGTGGCCAACTCTGGGTTTGTGGCACTCATCTCGCTTTATTGGCTGAGGGAGCCGGCGTACAGCTTCCGGGTCATGTGGCCAGCATGACTAAGTCGCTTCTGGCGAACCAGAGCAGTGCACGGAAATGCCGTTTACCTTCCTGTCAGAGTGGTACCTATTTATCCACTTGCACTTTGTGCTTTTGAACTGCTAGGTTGGCAGGAGCAGGGACCAAGCAACAGGAGCTCTCCCCACTGCTCATGACGAGTCTTCAGACAACCCTGCTAGTGATGTTAATTGCTTACAATGATCTTTCAGATATCGTATAAATTTACTCCAGTCCTTTTGGAATGCTTGATCTTGCTGGTTTCGGATTTTTTCTGTCAGCTTTGACAGTTCTGCAAAGTCCATCATCTTCATCTGCCACTCTTCTTTCATTGGTACTTCTTGTTGTTTCCATTTTGGGGCTAAAAGAATTCTTGCCGCAGTTGTTGCATACCTAAACAGACTTTTATCTTCCCTTGGTATCTCTTCACCCCGTGAACGCAGCAATTTCATCTAGATTCTGATTCCCCATGCTTCAATGTCTACCCATTTTTGCCTTTTCTGTTGGCAATGCTCATGTAACAGCTTGTTTCATCAGTTCAGGAGAATTTAGCAGCAGTCTTATCCTACCCAGTGGGTGCAACTCAAGGACTATAAATTAATTTCCACCTGGGAAAAAGTCTACTCTTTGGCAAAGTGAATAGATTATATATTTAGGTTCTAAATATAACCAGAATCTGTTTCATGCCAGTTTTCCCTTGTAATCTAAACTATAAATGAGTGTTTGATGATTGCCTTATAGACTGTTAAAACAAGTATAATTGCCACATTCTTTTCACAGGACACGTGCCTTGAATGCCTATTTTCACAGGGCAGGCTCAAAAAGGAAATTGAAAGAGGACAAATCATTCCAAAACTAAATACATTTAAAGTAAATTAAATACACTCACAGAACAACATTAATAATCCCATCATTCAGGGCTTTGATGCCTTGTGCTCACTAATGGTTGAATGGAGAAGCTTGCTCAAAGTCCTGAATGGTGGGATTATTATTGTTATCCTATGAGTGTATTTAATTTACTTGAGCCCTTTTCATGCATGGATCAAATGCTTTTTTCACTGTGCTATAGCCCTCATACAATTTGACAAGTGAGGTTCTTATAGTTTCTAAATATAATGCTCAACACTAGACAGTTATAGTTTTTGCAGGCATACTTTGTGAATGACCCAGTTTATGGCATAGTTCTAGTTACTGCTTTACTTTTCTTTTTCTTTTTTTCTTTTTTTGAAACTCCAAGTAAGCAGTAATTAATATAAATTATGGAAAATAAATTGTCTACTCATGCCAAAAGCAATTTTCACATTAATGGAAATATGCAATAGCTTGACAAAGCAGCTCATCATAAATAGAACTATGATAAGCTGCTAGTTGTGTTGTCTTTATGTGCACATACATGCAAAAACAGCCAATGGAGCTGCCATCTTTTCATTTTTATTGTTTTATTTTTATTTTTATTTATTAAGTTTGTCAGTTGCTTTGTCTTGTCCAGGACAACCCAAAGCAATTCACAACCAACCAAATAGACAATAAACCCCACATAGGTACATTAAAACCAAGAGAGAAAAAAGTACATTTAAAACATCCCACCCACTTCTAAAATGCCACAGATAGTTAAAGACCAGAAGCTTGGTTATAGAGGAAAGTTTTTGCCTGGCACCTAAAGTTATATATTGTTGGCACCTGGTGAGCCTCCATAATGGAGAGCATTCCACAAATGGGAAGCCACTGCAGAAAAGGCTTGTTCTCATGTTGTCACCCTCTGGACTTCTCATGGATGGGGCACATAAGGAAGTGTATCAATGAACAACGATACGTCATGATGCAGTATGTTTCCCACACAGCATTTTGCAAGTAAATATGGATGCTATTGGGTCATTCAGGCTATTCCACTCTCCCTTCATATGGCAGCATAGCTTTCCTTTTGTTTTAAAAAGGAAAAGGGAGAATACCTCAGTCAATGGTAAGCCACCATCACCACCCTAAAAAAATTCACCTCCGAAAGTCGTCGAAGTTCCCCCATACTCAATCATCAGGGCGGAAATTATTCAAGAGGAACTCTTTTTGCTACGGGAATTAATAACTGAATACAAATTATTATTTTTCTGTGTACTCAAGTTTATACATGTCTGCCAAATGAAGGTAACATTTTGTGCATTTGATTAAGTGGACCCTGTGGAAGCTTATGCCATAAGAAATCTGCACGTCTTCAAGGGAGCACCAGATTCTTTGTTGACTAACAGGACAACCCCTCTGGAAGTTGCTTCCCACCCCCAGTAGCTGTCTGCAAGTATTCAAAGTTTGAGTTTATTTTGCATCACCCGATGCATGTGCTATGTGTGGCTTATTGCCTTTGGTGGAAGGACAGACCTCGTGTTCTATTACCTTTCCCTGCTACTCACACCTGAGACAACTGAAAAGCTGCAGCCAGTAACCACAACACAAGAGAAAATAAACATGTGCTACATATGCAATTGGGCGACCAATACTGTTTCCAAGATAGAAATAAAAGCAATCACAGACTGCATTGTATGTTTTTAAAGTTGTTCATATTATAACACCGGATGAAAATGTTTAGTGACACATGCACACATTTCATTTAGATTTATTTGTTAGGGGGGGGAGCTTGATTAATTGTAGTGTCACCTGAAAAAAGTGACCACTCCACTTACTACAAGCATTCAAATTGCTAGTTGCCAGGAGTGGAAGATTAATGTCATCATGTTTCCTGTGTATTACAGAGAGAAAATACATGCTCTGCATTCTTTAAAGTTTTATTGTATATGTTGCAATGGCCATAGATATCACACACTGCTGAAGCACGGGGTTTTCATTACCAGGCTTCACAAGGATTTTACTGTGTTGTGTTCAGAATATTCTTTTAAAATTTGCAAGGCAATTTAGATGTCTTTCGCAAGTTAGTGATAGTGTGGTTAGTGACTGGACAAACAGGCCTGTGATATTCAAGAAAGAAGTCACATGCCCAATAATGGTATTATATTTACTGAGTATCACTCTACTCTGTCTTTCTCCCTGCTTGAAATGGTAACAACATATTGACCATAAACTATACAATGTGAATCATCATAACATGCAGTGTTGTATCTAATACAGACCCGGAAAGTTTTCTGTGGACAAACGCTGGTTCCCTCAGCCTGAAGCAAGATGAGCGCCACCCCCCATAGTCGCCTTTGACTGGACTTAACCGTCCAGGGGTCCTTTACCTTTACTTTTTACCTACAGCATTGTATCTAATACTGGCTTGTGCAGAATGATTTCCATGAGTGCAACAGAACTTTCTCTCCTTTTGCTCCCCCTCGTCTGCTTGGGGAGGTCCACCAAATTCTCTAGAGCAGGTTTGGGGTGGCATGAGGACGTCCTCTGGTGCCATACAGGTTTGATAAAATGGGAGGTCGCATCAAGTGTAATTGTGTTGACATTCCCCTGGTAATAGTTACTTAATTATGTACCCATTTGCTACATCTAATTTGAACATGTAGCATTTAAATAATGTTTCTCTTAAGGAATGTGCCATTTTTCCAGCATTAGAAGATGATAGCTTGTACCCAGGAAGAATGGCCGCAATTAAGATGAGTATTCTTCCAAGACTGCTGTTTTTATTTCAGAACATCCTGGTGATTAGAGGTATGACAGTGTTTAAAGATTGGCAGAAAACCCTTTCCAGATTTATTTGGCAGGGCAAAAGAGCAAGAATTAAATTTAAACTACTTACAGATCGAAGAGATAGAGGAGGGTTTGCCGTCCCGAACTTGAAACTATACTATGAGGCCTCGTGCTTGTGCTGGATCAAAGAATGGATCATTTTGAAAAACACAGATTTGTTAGATTTAGAGGGATTTAACACCAGATTCGGTTGGCACGCATATCTGTGGCACAATAAAGAGAGGGTACACAAAGGCTTCTCTAACCATATCATCAGAGGAGCGTTGCTTGAGGTATGGGACAGAAATAAAAGACTTATAGAAAAAGACACCCCCTGGTGGCTATCACCAATTGATATTCTAACAATCAAAAAATTAAATATGGAAAGTCAAAGATGGACCTATGAAGACCTCCTGGTAAGATCAGATAAAGGATGGAAAATCAGAACATATGAAGATTTAAAGGATAAATTAACGGGTTGGCTACAATTTCACCAAATTAATGCCTTATGGAACGAACATAAAAACAGGGATGAATGAAAAAGTCCAGATACCAGGTGGAAATACTAGAAGGTAATTCCAAACTCTTATCCAAAATGTATAATCAATTACTAGATTGGGATACTAAGGATGAAGAGATAAAGGAAGTTATGGTCAAATGGGCCATAGATCTTGGATACAACCTAGATTACGATAGGTGGGTGAAACTTTGGAACAAGGATATGAAGTTCACAGCATGTGTTGGAGTCCGAGAAAATATGGAAAAAATGATGTACCGATGGTACATCACCCCTGTGAAATTGGAAAAATTGTATAAGACCGGAGACAAAACATGCTGGAAATGCAAAACAAAAGAGGGTGATTTCTACCACATGTGGTGGACTTGTGAAGAAGTGAAAAGGTTTTGGGGACTTATTTATGATGAATTAAAAAAAAATTTGAAATATACTTTTCCAAAAAAAACTGAAGCCTTCCTCCTGGGAATGGTCGGAGAGGAGATCAAGAAAGAAGACCAAATAATGTTCCAATATGCAACGGTAGCCGCCAGGATATTGCTAGCGCAAAATTGGAAAACTCCTAATATCCCAACTGTTAGAGAATGGCAAATTAAATTATTTGAGCATATAGAATTAGCAAAGATGACACAAAAAATCCGGCATCAAAAAAGTGTAAAATTTATTAACGATTGGAACAAATTCATAACATACATAGAAGCAAATTTAGGAAATATTAAAATCACAGTAGGTGTAACGTAAAGCATGCGATGTATAGATAGAGGTTGTAAAATGATACCGCAGAAAGGTATTGTGGCTACATAGCCCAAAACGGAGATGGAGGGAAGTCAATCAATGTTAAGCTATGAATTGATGTTGGTTTGTTTTCCGTTTGTTTTCTTTTTTTATGTGTTGCTTTGTCTTTTTTCCTTTTTTGTTGTTGGTTTGTATGTTTTTGTTTCTTCACTTTGTATGTTTTTGTCTTAAAAAAGAACATAATAAAAAGAATTTTTAAAAAAAGAAGAAGATGATGATAGCTTGTACCAGGGTAACATTCTTCCGCTGTTATTACTGTGTAGTTACAAAAGCACCATGGGCATAGGAGCCAACTCTTATCTATTTGATGGGACTGCCCCACCAAGTTGATGGGCATTGCCATTCAAAGCTGCCCGTGCACTGTGTCCTGCGATCAAATATGCAGCACAGGGCTTACTTGCACACACATACAATATTTTATTCCAGTTGGCACTGCTGACCATGGGCATCTCTTGGATATTGCTTATGATACTGATGGAGGTGCATTATTTAACTCCCTCCAATGTCAAGTGAACTTTATTCTTGCTTATGATGAGGTTGAATGCTCCTCTGCAGTATTATTCCCCACTGAACTAGAAGTTTGCCTCTAAATGCAGATGTTTTTGACTATTATGAATGTGCCAAATTGCAATGGTGTTGCACAGTCCCTTATCATCTGGACACAACCCATCATTCTCTACGTGTCATTTGGGACACCGAATGCTGTCCAGTACCTCTGGATGGTGCTCAGAGTCAGACTTTGGTAAATGCATAGAGAAAGGAATCTACCAAAGAAAGATTTCTATAGCAACGTCTGAGAATGCATGTCTGTGTACCCTTGTCCCTCCATGAATGGCAGCAGGAAGCCCCAAGATTAGAAGATTAACTGCTCATTGTTTGTTCAACATTTCGGAGAACTCTCAGAAATACATGCTGCAATGTCTTAGTGACAAACAGTTACATTTATTAATTGGTGGCATTAATAAATGAATTGATGTATAGTGTCTGAGATATATTGCTTGATTTGGCTAGGGAAGTCTTGAT